CCCTTCCTGTAAAAGCAGAGACACAACCATATCCAGCCCTCAAAAGCTGTATCTTTTTTCCTGGGGAACGGAGAGCCAAACCGGCCAGCATGAGCCTCAAAAGGGCAGAGGAAAGCTCAGCGCGGAAGAGACCCTTGGTGGTCCAAAGCGACTGCCTTATCTCTAGTCTTCCAACCGCTACAGACCTTTATCATGGATGCTGCCCGCTACGCCCACCGCACCTTCGGGAGCCTCGTATCCATAAGCAGCCCCACTGTGGGCCCTTGGGGGGAGCCTTGTCTGCTGTCACCCCCTCCAATGCAGCTGGCGGATACTCCTCTTTTCCCCTCCCCTCCTTTGCCTCCCTTCCCTTCTCCCCCATTCCTGTCTTCCCTCTGACTCTTCTTTCCCCCCTCACTTCCCTTCTTCCCAGAGTGAGATTGAGGTCCCACTCAGCCCCTTACTGGGCCACAAAGCCAGGTCATCTCCGCCCCTTGCTCTGCAGCCCGTGATGACCCCGCGATGTCACTTGGTGTCTTACAAGGTGGGGAAGGGCTTAAGCTCATTCTGGGGACTGCGGGGTTTTACGTACAGAAGATTCCACGAAGCTCAGGGGTTCGGGTCTCTGGCTGCAGAGCCAGCGGTTGGGAGTTCAACAGACCCTGTGATCCTGAGGGTCCCTTCTAGCTCTGCAGTTCCAAGATGATATTTATTATGATTCAAAAACACCAGCCACAGTCAAGATTATAAAAACACTGACTAGTATTGCAGAACAGATAGATTTTTAAACCAAGATCCTAAGTATCTGTTAAATATTGGCACACTGTCTATGCTAGTTTAAAGATACTTAGGATTTTGTTTGGTTAGAATGTGTATCTCTATCGTCGTCATCATCATCATTAATTGCTGAGATGTCCAGGCAGGGCTGGTGAAAAGGCTTATTTGGTGAAACAGGAGCTGCCTGAACTGTTGCTGGGTGGCCAAAGCTGACGGCACAAAAGGCTGCTCCAGGCGAGCTTTCTTCCCAGAGCCTTCCATAAGCATGAAAAACTGTGGTGTGAAATGAACGAGACGACAAGGCCTCTTGCGGCATCCCCCGCACTGCTCTGGCTTGTGGCTCCTCGGCCCCCCAAGGGCTGTATCACGGCCAGGGCAGGACCGGGAGGTTCTGCGTTTAGCTCAGTGGCTCTGGAGCAGCGCAAGCCTCACGTGAGAAGACCTGTCGATCTGTGGCCTGCAAACACTGAGGTCCCGAACGCAGGACCTTCGGCTTGCAAACACAGCCCTCGGCCACGGAGCCACGCCCCTTCCTGAGGAAC